CAGTGTAGCTCACAGCTTATTCCGGAAAAGCGGCTGATTTTCCGGAATAAGTGGCCCAGTGTAGACACAGCCCATGGGATTGCTTACGCATTCCAGAAACCAGTAAAGCTCTCAGATTCACAAGGAGGAAAATATGCTGTATAGCTCAACTCTTCCTATCATCCTACCTGTAGCTTCCCCAAAGGCAGGGAAGTGATAGAACCTGATTGTAAAGATGACATGTTACTATACAAATATAGGATACTGTACAAACGACCTGATAGTTTTTTCTGCATATCTAGCTCCCCATGAAACTTAGATAAGGCAGATATGCTAACCCACATACATACAGCACTATTCAGGGACCACTAGAACAACATCTATACCCACTCTGTCAAGAGTGCTAATAACAAAAATGCCACATGGAAGAAAGTCAGGTGCCTATCACCTCTCTGTATAATTTTAAGCCACAGAGACCTTACAAAAATAATCAGGTTTTGTTTGTTTGTTATTCTTTTCATGCAGGACTTTTGTTGTTATTTCATCTTTAGTCACATACAGCAGAATGAAGCTTCAAGTATTCCTAACATAGAAAATGTAAATACATATTAATAAAACAGTTTAGAATTCTCTGAGTTATGAACTAGGTCCATAAACAATTACTGAAATTTCCTTTAAATAAATAAATGGGGGAGGGGGGCATTAAAAGAGGATTGTACACAGGTGGTAAAAATAAAAAGTAGCCCTCACTAGCCTAAGGCTGCCCAATTTATAAAGCTACTAAAACAATAAGTCATTCTATTGCCACAACGTTTTAATAAGTGGTTTTGCTTATAAATGTCAGTCAGATTAGCATGTGTAGCCTAGTAACAACATTCTGATGAGCAGTGCAATACAGCTTTTAATTTTGGAACCCTAAAAACTCCCAGGATAATCTTTCTAAATTAATTGCAAATCTGGGAAGTTCTTCAGGAAACAAATACTGAGGAAAAAGAGCATTTCTGCAGAACACTGTCATAAAGATTTAATAAAGCACATTCTCCATTCTAATGTATGAGAAAATTGGTTAACAAGACTTGAGCTGCAGGTTTCCACCACAAATGTCTTCTAAATAATACCAGAATTTGAGTGGAATTCATTTAGAAGACAGCTGCACTTTGATATACTGAGCTGATGGAAGCACATGTTCACTGTGTACCTTTTGGATGACAAATATTTTACTGGTTTTCTGTGTATTGTTATTAGAGCAAAATGCATTTTAATACAAGCTTAGTGCATGTTTTCAGACTTCTATTCACTCTCAGAACGAGATCACAACCAATAACAAAAGTGTAAACTGGCACTCACCAAATGTTCTTAAGCCCTTTTGGAGATGGGCCACACCTAGAAGCAAGGAGACATTAAACTAGGAGTGGGCAATAAAAGGGCAGTGATTGACCAGGGTTAGCTCCAGGTGGCCACTGCTGCTATATTTATCTACACCTCTGCAGTATGAATGATCACAGCTCCCATTGGCCGCAAACATCAATCTGTGGCCAATGGGAGTTGCTGTCCCTGTGCGCATGGAGGTGGAGGTAAATACAGTGGTGTGGAGGCCAGCCAGGGGTTAACCCTGGCAGACCAGATCCAGCCCATGGGCTGGTATTTGCCCACCCCTGGATTACACCCATTTAAACCAGGGCTTGGCTTTTCAGGAAGGGCTAAGCTTTGAACATTGGGCCCCTTGAAAGTGTCTCATTTGGGTATCCAAAAACAGTGGCTATTTTTTGAAAAACTTGACTAAAGCGTTCTTTATTGAGGTCCTTCAACAAGTGCAATTTGCTCCCTCCAGCAGCCCGCCAGCGTCTGGTTTTGCTAACCTTACAAACCTGGTAAGAGTCTCCCCCCAGGCAAGCACTTGCTTGACTGTGGGCCATTAAAAGAGTTACTTATGACTGGTGAGGGCAGTGCAGGGAGCAGGACTGTTTGCACCATCAATTATTGAGAGCTTGATTAAACACGTTAAATCAATCTGTGTCTTGACTAGGCTATCTAACAATATAGGGTCCTCTAGTGCAACCCCCTGCTCAAAGCAGGATCAACCCCAGGTTCTTCTCTTACCCATTCACCATTTCTGCTTTAGTAACCTGTTTCTCTATTGATTGGTCAACTGATTATATGGGGTACATTGTTACTGGTTCTTTGGCAACCAGACAGTCTGCAGAGTGAGTCTCTGCGGTTGCCCTCCTGTGATTCTCCCTAGGCAACAGAACTCCAGGGCTTATTGTTTAATGCTCACTGAGAACTCCAGAATGTGGCTATAGCACCAAACACATAGATGGAGAAATCCACAAAGGGGCACTAGTACCTGGATAGGGAAAGGCCTACCAAAGTGAAGCCCAGCATCTTGTGGTTCGATTCATCTATAACAGGCCGCTTGTTTAAAAAGGAGTTTCCGTTGCTATACATTAACTGCAGTGGTCACCAGTGAACAGATCAAGACCCCATTGAACAAGGGTAGTCAACAAAGGATAAGGCAGGCAGACAGAGATGTCAGTATATGACAAGTTGCGATGGTTTTTTAATGGAAGTGCAGACCCCTTAGTCTGCATCTGAGTCTGCAGAATACAGGCTGAAAACCATTGAGAGGAACCAATACTTGCCCCGTGTGCATTTTGTCTAATTCATACCCTCTGACCTTACACTGAAAGATGAACCTCATGAACCTATTGTCCATGCATGGGACAAACCAGCAGGCTTAGTCTCTCTGCATTATATTCTCATTCCTCTGTGTCATATAGCGACTTTGACTACTCTTTCAAATATCATCTGCACATGTGAACCTATGTTTGAGGATCTTTCCTGTGGATTTGTCTTGCAAAGCAGTTTGGAAAATCTTAGACTCGTTAGTGATATCTGTGAAACTGTAGTTATTAGCAGTAGCATCCCTTCCCCTCTTTAATACCAATAGCCTTCTGGTCAGTGAAATAGCCCACTATAACATAAAACAATTTCTTATAAGTAGACAGTTCAATCTAAACCATGATGGCTAGTCTCATATCTACCAAATCTGATTCTGTTTTAAAATGCCCCTTTTAAATGCAAGGAAGCTACTCTCTGCCAAATCGCAGTGTGCCATGGAGTATCCCAATCATAAAAAAAAAAAAAAAAAAAAAAAAAGAACAAAAGCCATGTACCAGAGAAGAGAAAAGCTCTTCAAAGTTATGTCCTGGCATTTCCTCCAGATCATTCCCTGAGAAGATTTCCATCTTCCCAGAAGTCCCTCAGATTTAGGAGGATCTAGTGAAATCCAGTTCCATCAAAGCTTGTGATTTGCACTGTCTCTTGAGTCCCTATTTCCTCAGTTCCCTGGAAACACCAAACATGTGAGTCAACGGCAATGCAGACGTTATTAGAAATATGATCATCAGATGTCTCAGATTCATCCACACTGTGTGTACTTGCATCTCAGTCAATCAGCACATATTGGTGAATTATAGTGCAGGGGAGGTATGTGGTCGATCATGTTATTCTTCATTTCTAATGCTCAAACTGACACTTTTGCAAGTGTGACACATGACTCCAATTCATGGCTGTCCTTCTGCCAGTGACAGCAAATAAAACACTTGCAAGCATTCCAGTTTGCTCCTCTGTCTTGTCTATATTTGCTTACAGAAGCATCCTCTATTATAGGATACCATACTAGTAAATCTGGACCCTCACGTGTATTTTTTGTACTTTGAAAATGCTCTTTCCCATATTTTTACAGATTTACTACTGTCCTTCAATTAGCTCTTTAAAAAGAAGAGTGACTGATGCCACAATCTGCAATTTGCAAAATAAAATAACACTATCCTCTATGATGAATAATAGAACATAAGCAAAAATACTGAGAGAGAAACAGTTCATTATACTAATTGCTCCAAAGTAAATGAGGTGGAATGACTTCTTAATGGAACCCTGTTCCCATAGGTTAGACATTTGCCCATTACAAACCAATAGAGTAGCAGCTATTTTGGGCGGACGTGATTCACAGTACTTTATTGAAAAAGGCTATTAACATCAGCAACCACAAAGTTTAACCTGCTATAACACAAGTCTGAAGCCTATAACAAATTCCAAGCCCTAGTGCAACACAAAAGTACCCACAGTAAATACCACAAACATCTGCGTATCCGTACACAACAAAAATATCCTGAAACATGCAACTTTGTGGAAATTTGGGGACATAGGACAGATTGTCCCATTGAACTACTTTTTTAAAAAGAAATTGTTGTCACAAAAGGAATAGGAACAGTATCATATCATACATTCGGTGGTGGGGGGGGGGCGACAGAATTGCCATGGCTGTGGTCTAAATTGTGTGTGTGGGGGGGAGGACTGGCTCCATGTTCCTGGGAGGGGCGAGACCTCAGGTGGAAGGGACAGGTTAGTCATAGCAAGAATTACATTAGCCATTTGGCCAAAGTGTTATACAAGATACTCAGGTTCAGCTAACTGTCCACCATGACTCCCCACACTTTTTCAGAGTCATTGCTTCCTAGGATGGAGATCCCATACAATAAGTATGGCCTACATCCTTTGCTCCTAGATGCATATATTTATATGTAGCCATAATAAAATGCATATTATTTGCTTATGCCCAAGGAATCCTGATTGCTCTGTATCAGTAACATGTCCTTTTCACTATTTACCACTCTCCCAATTTTTGTGTAAACTGCAAAATTTATGAGAGATGATGTTATATTTTCTAATAAAAAGTGTTAAATAGTATAGGAGAAAAAACCAATCCCTCTGGGGCCACACATTCTCTCAATCAATATTTTTCATTTACAATTATATTTTCAGAGCAGTCAAGTAGCAATTTTTAATCCATTTAATGTTTGCCATGCTCATTTTATATCTTTCTAGTTTTTTTAAATCAAAATCTTATGTACTTCCAAGTCAAATGCCTTACAGAAGTCTAAGTATACTAGATTAACACCATGACATACATCAAGCAAACGTATACTCTCACCAACAAAAGATATGAAGTTCATTTGACAGGATCCATTTTCCATAAACCCATATTGATTGGCATTAATTTTATTACAGTCCTTTAATTCTTTATTAATCAAGTTCCACATCTGCCGCTTTCCCTCTGATAACAAACAAGAAAAGGAACATTATGAACACTCAAGTATGAAAACCATTGAATGCTATTTTTCTGGATGGTCTACTTCCTTGATTGCGTGGGTAAAGTAACCCATTTCCCACTAAGAACTATTTGCAACTATGTTACAATTGCTCTGACAACTATGTTATCAAATCTGGCAGCTCAAAGATGTCAAGTAAATATGTTTCAGTGATTTATATGTTATCCATTAGAATTGGTTTCAGTGAGAAGAGGGACTGCTGACCAGATGGATTGCTGGGGTGTTCGGTGCACCCGGTGAAAACTGCCCTCATTAACTTTCTTCTGCTAACAGGAAAAAGCCAAAAGTCCATGTTCAGAGATGAAAAACAAACCACTTTAAAATTTCATCTCTATGATATTTTATAAAACCAAAATGCATTTCTTGAACATGGACTGTAACTCAGCATAGCGTGTTACACTGTGTTGTTCCATAATGGGTGAAATGATATACCAGAGAATCATAGAATCATAGAACACTAGAACTGGAAGGGACCTCTAGAAGTCATTGAGTCCAGTCCCCTGCCCTCATGGCAGCACCAGTACTGTATAGACTATCTCTGACAGATGTCTATCTAACTTGCTCTTCAATATCTCCAGCGATGGAGATTCCAAAAAGAGTAGGCAGAAGGGTTTTGTAACAAATAAGGAAGGAACTAACTCATACATATTGGCTACGTCTACACTGCTGGTTTTGCAGCCAGTCAGTATGCAAATGCAGCACAAATTAGCATATCACCGTGTCTCATTTGCATAATTTATGTGAGGCATTTTTGCCAGGGGAAAAAGTAGTGTGGACATTTTCTTTTTGCGCAAAAAACCCTTTTCCTGCCAGATCGGTAAACTTCATTTTTTGGGGCATAAGGATCTGGCAGGAAAAGGGGTTTTTGTGCAAAAAGAAAACATCCACACTACTTTTTTTCCCACAAAAACCCTTTGCTCAAAAACACCTTGCATAAATTATGCAAATGAGTCACAACTATATACTAATCGGTGCCTCATTTGCATACTCACTGTTGGCAAAACCAGCAGTGTAGACATAGCCATTATGTATAGAGCATGCATGATGAGGGAACTCTCACAATATACCTCTCTTTGCGTGTTTTGCTAAAATAAATCTATCTACCAAGGGGCTACACTCCCCTTACAGCTGCCATCAGGCGCCCCCCATAGGTTGGTGCCCTGGGCAGCTGCCCAGCTAGCCCATGCTTTAATTCGGCCCTGCATTGAAATAGCCCATACAAAGTACAGAGCCTGATTCAAAGAGGCCACTTGAAAGACTCTACCCCCAGTCTATTCAATATCCTTAGCTCAACCTGCACCCTCCTCACACTCTCTGTGCACTCTACACCTCAACCCAACCTGCACCCCCATTCTTCTCATTCTCCAGTCCGTTCAGCACCCCTAGTCCAACGTACACCCCCAGTGAGTTTACAGGGACTTGGGAAATATCCATAGTCAATTTTTTTTTCACTACATGAACTCTTGTACCTTAGCCAGATGTTTACATTATTGTCAAATTCATAAATCCAAAATGTTTTGTTTCAAATACTTTTATGTCACATATTTAAAATGATGTGCCCTATTTGTAACTTCGGTGCCCATGAAAATTAATACTTGCATCCAAACCTATACAATAGATTAATATTATGGCCTGATTTTAAATTCTGGTCACAGAAATGGGTGCACGCATGATGCACACATAAATGCATGAGAGTGCAATGGTGGAAACACTACTTTTTTGGGTAAGTGCAAATTACTAATTTAGTACATAACTATGCAAAAAAGTGCACAATTACTTGCACATGTAAAGTTAAGAAAATCAGACCCTTATCTGTCTGTTTCATGGATACGTATGTGTTGTGTGTTCAGACACATCCCAGCTTTGGGTGACATTAAACCTTAGGTGCTCAAAAAATGCATAGTCTGAAATATGTGCTTACCTATGTGTCAGACACATTTAGTGGCCATGTTAAACCCACATTAAAAATTGACCAGTAAATATAAATTCACAACACAGTATTTCCATCTTGCAAGCTTTCAAAAGTAAAAAATCATAGTCC